CTAACAGTTCCTGAAAATAAGTACAAAGGCGATTCGCTGACATGTGCTCTGGATGTCATTATCAAATTTCTCTTATATTTCCATTTTACTTTCTCAATTACAGAAATTCAATCGATTATTAACTATGTATTGTATTTGTGCCATTGCCAGAAGCAAACCGAGTAAGAAATCTTACCTGCAGCCGAAAGAAAGCTCTATTTGTACAGGCATATGAAATTATTTATTGTTAAGAACAGCGCTGTTGGAATGAAAGCCGAGGTAGCTTCGTTGTTATCACGCATCCTTGAGATTCAAACGAGATCTCAATCGAAAATGAAGCTTGGAAAATTGCTGTGCAGATTTCGATAGCAGCGGGATCATATGAGAAAACTTGGAAATTCAATGTCACAGGCTGGTAATAAGTTAGCAGTTTCGGCATTGAGATTTAATGTAAAGAAATAAAAGTTTAAAAATGTGAAGCCTATTTTCAAAAGTGGAACTTGAGATTACTCAGGAGAAGGCAAATGCGTAGCGGAAAAAGGAGGATGAAGAGGAGGAGAAAGAGAAGCATATCGATGTGGCTGTTAAGCCAAAGAAGAAGAAAAAAACGATAGGGAAAATAATAATAATAATAAGAAGAAGAAGAAGAAGAAGATAAGAAGAAAGAAAAGAAGAAGAAGAAGATAAGAAGAAGGAAAAGAAGACGAAGAAGAAGACAAACATAACAGCTTCTTCGCGGTCTGCGGGCCGCTTTTCCCCACATATCGAAACACCATGACGTTCCAACTGTACTTTGCAACCGCCCTCCAGTGTAATCAATTTAAAATCTTTATGGTCTTACTTCCCGTGTTTACCCTACATGTTAGCCTACAAATCAACTTTATCGACCCGACGAGGTTGAAGCCATTCAACCAACGCTCGATCACGTTAATATAACTTGTAAAATCTTCCTCTCTACTGAAAATCAGTTTCGCAGCACAAGCCAACAGAGTCTGCTGATAACTAACAACGAGTTTAATGAAAACAAATTGACGAATTTTACAAGTAGAAGGAATAAAGAATTATTGACCTTTCTATGTAGCCTGATTGACGATCTTTCGAAAGGAAACTTTTTTTCTGGAAGTAAAGAGATGGTAATCCTGGAACTGGTCATTCTCTTCTTGTGCTTGTGGGTTTGTTAGTCACAGAAACAGCAGCAGTCGGTAGAAGAACGTTTTATACGGTCCTATCTTGTCATCTCTGTCTGGTTCCATCTGCCTTTGGCTTTTGATCATATCGTTATATAAATAAGTCTGGCCTTGATTTATTGCATGTGTTTCGATAAGCTATTCATGACTTTTCGTTGTTCAATAACATGGTTCTCATTCAAATGTAGTCAGGCCAAACCCTTAGTACTGATTTTGATAACAATACGAACAGATGTGTTGTCTAATAGTAATTTATATAGACATAAGGGTACTTCCCTAGAATTTTGGAAAATTTAAAAGACCAGAAATCTTTGTCATATTGTCCCGGCAAATGGTTAAGATGTGGGTGGGGGGTCTAGATTTACTAAGTCTTAATAAATTCTACTTGATTTATTTCTGGTTCGAGTAGCCTTGTAACCTTCTCCATGTGTAATTAATGGTTTCTCATTATTCCTTCTTTCTTTCCTTTTTCTCATCGGCACTTAATTAGTTGCCCCAAGTTTTAATTATTCATTTTTATTCTGCTCCAAATCGTTATTAGACATTCTCATGCAGTAAAATGTTGAATTAGAATTAGCCCCCTGTTACAGCCTTAGCAATTTTCCAACCTCATGCTAGTTTGCTTCCTACAATTACTGTGAGGAATTGCAATATTTTTTTTATTGTTTCTTTATATCATACACAGTCGATTACATATCTTCAACCCCGAAACACGGTGGTCGAAATTTTTTAACCTTTCCACTTTTTGTTTCCTCGATATCGACTGGTGTTTACGCTTCAAACCATCACGAACATTTGAACTTCGCTTGGAAGCCTTAACTAGGTTTGCATGTAAGGAAAATAGACAAGGATTCGTACAAAATCGATGGCCAACCACATCAGTCTCAAGAATTATACAGGCTGCCCGGTGATTTTGTCTGGAAATCGCGCGGAATTCAAATTTTGGGAACAGTGAACAGGTGGGAGGAAAGGATTCTACATGGCTACACATGTTCAAATAATACCATGATAAGAAAGAAAAATGCAAAGAGAAAAGGTTTTAAATTTTTCATACCGGTGATACTATCGTTGAAAGGAGGTAAGATTTAAGAGGGTAAGAAAAATATGAACCACATACTTGGGGTCATCCTTTTACAGTGACAGTTTTGGTGATAACAAATGCTAAGAGGAAATGTTAAAAAATGGTACCAATCTAAAAGTACCTAATCTGAAAAAAGAGACAACGAAAGAAGAATTAAAACTAGAGTTTCCGTACTGTGGTCAAGAGATTGTATAGGTCACTTTAAAACAACATTTAAAAAAATTCTTTTTCGTTTATTATGGAACTATATTAATTTTCTTTCAAAATGTAGGTGTAAAATCGATGTCGAACCTCTATAAAGTTGCTTGGAAGAATGATGAAAAGGTTCTTACAGAAGTTAACACCAATTTTATTCCATGCCTGTTGACAAATTGCTTTAAGATTACTCAAAGCTTTGAAGATTTCAATAATTAACTCAAACTTAACTTAAGATACCCACAACGGATTTTCTTAAAGATTTAGGTCAGGTATCTGACTAGGTCACTCTAAAAATCTTATTTTCTTCGTTTGAAACTACTGCTTTATTTTTCAGGAATTTTCCGTGAGAATGTTATTTGATTTTATATTTCCAGTCTCTCTGTATTTTGAGCAATTTTATGGATGCATGCTTGTTAATCTCCAGTAAGCCATAATATATAGCACTGTTCTATGCTTGATGGTATGTAGTGCAGCCATACCACTGAAGGAAAACAACCCCAAATCATCGTAATTCTACCATTGTTGGAATGGCATTGTTGGGTGTTATATGAAGTATTTTGTCTCCAAACATATCCAGAAAAGTTTCCAGTAAATTCGATTTAAATTTCATCGGTACTATTTACATTATTCGTACTATTGTCCTCATCTTTGTCGCTATGTGTTTATATTTCCAACCTGTTTGTATTTTGAGCAATTTTATGAATGAATGCTTGTTAATCTCCAGTAAGCCATGATACATAGCACTGAAGGACACATGCACAGTGGATAAAGATGTTGGTTAGATTCAGTGACAGGACCCGAAGAGTGTGAGTTCAATACCCGGCTAAGGCAGTGGAGAACTTGGAGAGGGGAATTAACAGAAGATAACTGAAAACTGACATCCATTAAACATGGCAAGTGGAACTAGAACAGTCTACCCCAGTGAGCAAAATAAAGGGTCCAGTTCGACATTCCAACCACCTGAAGAAGGCCGGGGCGTACAACGGCCGAAACGTTGTAATAAATATGGTGACAAAGATGAGGACAATAGTCCGAATAATGTAAATAGTGTACATAATACCTCATCTCAGAAATATAGACAGATGCTGAAGTTTCATCGGATTATATATGCAACAACGAAGCCTAACTAAAGATAATCTTCATGCACATGGGCATCATCAGAGTATAACATGTAATCCTAGCCAGTACAGTGTTTGACTAATTGTATCCTTCTAATCTCGGTTTCTCAACCAGGGAAGAACCCCCCTCCCCCACCAGAGAGAAATTTCAGGGTTCCAGCGGGGAGAGAAAAATCTTTTACATTTTCTTGTTTTTTTTTTTTATTTACAGAATTTTGTTTATTGAATTACAATACTGCATTCTATTGAACTTGTTTTTTTTTATTGAAGTCTGCTTCACTTTTATTTTTTTAATACTTAGTTATGAATTAAAACAAATTACTGCACAATCTATTCAAGTTTTAAAATCCACCAACATTATCTATTGCTAAATGTGTATGTATTGATATGAAAAAGAATGGAAATTTTCAATATGTGCATATTATTTGGAATGCACTTTTTGGGTTTAACAATCTTGGAAAGGGGAGGAATGTCATCCTGACCTATGGGGAAAAGGGGGAAAAGGTTGAGAACTGCTGCTATAGAGAATGTGTATATATATATGTTCTCAAGATGAATAATAATTCCATTAACATATTCTACAGAAATCAAATCAAATCACAACTATTACAACAGAAAAAATGATAATTTATGGACATGTTAAATCTGTTGATAAAAATATAAATATTAGATTTATCATTATAAAAATAACTTAATCATCAAAAATAATATTTTGAAATCGACCATCACCCTACATAAAATTAATTTTTTTAATGAATTTATTTGTCCATCTTTCTAATTAAAAAAATGTCTTATAATAAAGGGTGTTCCTATAATTTGGCCCGATTTTAAATTAATTAAGCTTAGGCGTCTAAATGTATAAATTCACATTCACATGTTTAGGTTTATTACAGTTCTAATCATCGCTTTTTAAAACAATAAACATTGTTGAAGAGGGAAGGTACTTAAAAATAATGTCATGGGAAAAAACATCCTTTTAACATGCTGTCTTATTGTGGGCATGTTCATCCATGTTTAACAAAAATCCATCAACATTCTCTGTTGCTATTAAATTTGTAAAAATTCCTCCGTAAAATAATCCATGTAAATGTATATGTACTCATATGAAAAAGAAGGAAGATTTTCAATAATATATGCATATTATTTGGAATGCACTTTTTGGGTCGAACAATCTTGGAAAGGAGGGGAATGACATTTTGATTTATAGGTGAAAAGGGTGCATGGGGTAAAAAAAATTTGAGTACCATAGTTTTACTGATTTATTTGTATATCCTTATGAATCTCTCATGAAGGGCTGGTACATCTCTTTTACCGTTAATTTATTTTACGAGAACGTCGCTTTCAAGAGGGCCACGTTCTACCCAGTTTACGATTGATGGCGCCAATTCGTATTGATAGAAATCTTGACCTCATTAGACATATTTAAGGCTTATGGTTATGAAACACTAGTTCTCGTACAATCACCGAAGTTAAGCAACGTTGAACCTGGTCAGTAACTAGATGGGTGAGAGCTTGGGAATATCAGGTGCTATAAGCTTGGATATGAACTGGATAATGGTTTGGAATTGTTAATCGCAGAGCCGTGTTCCAATTCCAGTTGAGTTCGTTATATTCCCTTACCTGAAAATGGCCTTGAGAAAAGTAGGAATCCATCTCTTCTCCCTCAGCTATGGGTTAATTAGTAACACTTGTCACTAAATCAATATTATCTAAAAAAAACATTTCGTACAATCTAAACATATTTACTCCCATTAAATAAAATGCAAAGTGTTGATAAGCCGTAAAAACGATCAATCAATCAATCAAGGAAAATAAATAAACAGTATATATTTACCTATCAGTACCTTGTATAAGTAAACCGTTATTATCTCCTCAGTCCCGCAATAATATCTTACAATTTAAAAATATTTTCTGGCTTTAAATAACTTGAAAAACTGTATTGATAAACCGTAAAAAATAATCGTAGATATCTTTAGATATCCCATTTAACGATTATGATTGTCATTTGTGGTGATAAAGCTGAACATGAATATGTCTAAGGATCTTATTTATTACATTAATGTTATGAAAATATACTGCCCTTGTTCCTGACTATAGAATAATTGAATAATTATAATTAAGTATCTTTAATGCATCAGGCAGTTATGTGCCATGCGTGGTACACGCTTAGCCGATCATGTATCTTTTGATACATGATTGATGAGGTAGATTTTTCCCGCAGTAGGTTGCCATTTCTTTCTGCGGTAGACCATTTGCCATCCAAAGCTATAGATCTCGGTCTGCCTTGCTATTTACCCATAGCTGGGGTGGGGGACAGGATTCGTACCTTTTCAAAGGTTATTAGCACGCAAGTTACTGGAATATCGAACTCGGCACTTCGATTCCTCAATCCGAGCCGTTATACATCACTCCACCGTACGGTCGTTAAGATTGGTTTAAAAGAGAAAAATAACAAATCAAAGATTTACAGCATAAAAAAAAAAAAAAAAAAAAAAAGAAAAAATAGGAAAAATACGTAAATATGTTGAAAGTGTCAAATTACATTAATTTATTGAAACTTGGCTAACGGGGATTTCACTTTGTCTCTATACAATATAAACAATAAATGAAACCCTTCGAATGAGTCGTCTTCGCTCGAAGAGCCAAACAAAGGCCAGTTTGCTTGGTTTCATTTAACTGTGTCTGATTTTTTTTTGTCCGATTCTTGTCCTCACAGTAGTGTGGTGTATGATCGTCTTGGAGAATAAACATAAATTTTCCCAGAATGCAATAAATCTTTCGCATAATGTTGCAATATTGTTTGATTTAGTGGCACTAGTGCAGGGGAAAACATTTAATATTTCCATTGATATAGTATTCTGCTTTTCTTCCCCCCCCCTCTCTCTCTGTCTTTCCCCATGCTCTTTGTCACTGTCATATGAGAAGGTGACATTCTTCACAATCAGGACAAAACGATTTCAAATTCAAATTGTATGTAAACCGAAGTTCTTTGAAGTTAGAAAAGATATTTGCTGCATACTGACTTGACCTTTTAAAAGGTTTTAATTCATACGGATATGAAGATTTATCAAACATTTTTTTCTTTTCGTCCCTACGTGTTTCTTTTTGAAGAAAAGATGCACGGTGGCGTAATGGATCGCGGCTCGGATTGAGGAATTGGAGAGCCGAGTTCGAATTCCAGTTGAAGGTATGAATCCTTTTCTTCTCTCCCCCTTCCCAGCTATTGGTAAATAGCAGGCCAGACCGAGTTCTATAGCCTTGGATGGCAACTGGTCTACCGCAGAAAAAATCTGCCTCGTCAGTCATGTATCGAAAGATACGATCACCTAAGCGTGTATCGCGTATGGGACATAACTGATTGACAGAAGGATACTGCGAATACCATGGAACGAAAACGTAAGCAACGAAGATGTTCTAGAGACAACTTATACTTAACATCAAATTTATTTGGTGCATAATAAGGAAAGAGGGTTTAGAAAATTTGATACCCACACGACAGATTGACGGGAAGAGGGCCAGAGGAAAGCAACGCTATAACATACCATCGGATGGATGTCAGAGAGATGGAAAATAGACAAAAATATAAAGAGCTGCATTGTAAAGGACATTGCGAAGAGCTATGATCGCCAGCGTCCGTTTTTTAAAACATTTCGCCCCAAGCAAGGCGGAAGTGTAACTAGTACAGGGGGGGGGGTTACAGAGAGTGAAATTAAGAGAAAAGGCTGTTTATAGGGGGGGATTGAAGAAAGAATAAAAAGAATTTAAATTTTTGAAAATTGCAGTTATAAGGGAAGCAAGTAAGAGGAAGGAAGTTTTACTGTCGGGAAGTGCGAGAAAAGCTGTTGGAGTAGAAGTGGCGGTTACAGAAAACTGTTTCAACAGTAAAAGGGTAGCACGATTAAATTCATGTTGTCGCGACACCGGGGGAAAAAGCTCGCTAGAGCAGTAGCCATTGAAATATTTGTAAAAAGAAAGAGAGAAGCCACCTCACGTCTATGAGAAAATGACTGGAGTCGAGATGCCAAGTCAGGACCGATTAAGTTGCAGATCCTTCTTTGGATTTTGTCGACGACCTCGAGATGAACAGCAGAAGCACCAGATCATATATAACAACAGTATTCAATGCATGGACGAATGGTAGATTTATAGGATGGACTCAGACGTGAAAAACCATTTTGGCACGACATAGAGGACCAGCTTCCATTGTAGTAGATGCAGCTATTGATTCAATTTAGTTGTTCCACCCCAAATCAGTTGAAGACTTGAGGCCAAGAAGGCGCAATGTTAAGCTCTCGCGAAGTCGAGCATCAACCATGATAATAGGGGGTAGGGAGGTTTCTTTATGGTGGTGAGAGAAATTTCTTTTTGGAGGAATTAAAATTACATGCCATTTCCTGCCCCATTTAATCACTGATTGGAGGTCCTTTTCGTTAGAATTGCCGGATACGGCACATAGAAAAAGTTGATGGAAATACCAGCTTAAGAGAAATACAAAAAATTCTCTTGATATGTACAACTCACATACTAAGAAGAACTTTGTCCATATAACGCTAGCGATGTTATAGGAGTTAGAAAAACAAATCATGAAATGTGGCCATAATAACACAACAGTAACTGCCTTAGCTCTTCCTGCAGACTTGGTAGGTAGTGTGACCATAGCAGAAATAGAAATATAATAATAATAATAAGAAGAAGAATAAAGTTTGATTGTTATCACTCGTATTGGCATCGGCAGAGTAAACATGTCTTCAATTTTTGGTCCGAGAAGACATTGTGGATTTGCCTATTATATGTAAGCTGTATGAAATTTTATACAATTAATTTGAAATTACATTCTTTTTTCTTTTTAAGTTTAAGTATATTTGAATTTAATGTTTTTCTATTTAATATATATCTATGTACATAAGAAATTCCAATCATCTGAAGAAGGCCGGAGCAACGGCCGAAATGTCGTGAAGATGGCAATAAGGATGAGGACAAAAGTCCGAACAATGTAAATAATGTACATAATTACAATATATCGTCTCAGAAATATGGACAAATATATATTCGTGATAAGCACTAATGTAAATCCACTTCTGACCTTTCATCAGGTAATCGCTACTGCGGGTTATACGAAGTTAAATCATATAATGAATACTATTTCCATATTCCTGTTATCTCCCTGAATGCAGGTTCAAGACGAAAAACTCTAGAACTCAAGACATCTGAATATAACTCCCTGTTTCATGAACAGGACAGTCGTCCTAAAGCTGGTAACTTGAACAAAATTACCCCTTGCCGGTCAAGGATAAAATGTCCCCCCCAAAAAAAAAACAAGAAAAAAAAAAAAACTAAACAAAAAAAAAACGCATAAATCAACAATCGCAATGCTTACAAAAAAAAAAAAAAAAAAAAAAAAAAAAAAAAACAAAACAAAAAACCCGCATAAATCAACAATCGCAATGCTTACAAACAAATACTCATACCAGATCTGCCGTCTCCCGGGTCAACAAGGATCACGTCCCTCAGCGGTGAAACCTAAACCACTTCATTTTAAGAAAAGAAAGAAGTGAGAAGGGTTTTTTTTGTGTGTGTGTCACTAGGCGTGTGTAACGACCACATGATACTGCTCGGAATCAAAATTCGGCAAACTGTTTCAAAGCAAGCAAGAAGAGACACAAATATTCATCTGTCGATAATAGACTTTCAAAAGATCAATTTCTCCCCACATCCCGCTTTGCATCCGACTCATACCACCCACCATCTCTCTTGGCGCCCGACCAGAAACTCGTGGGCCGGGTTTAGCAGACACATTTCACAGACAGTAAGAGGGGATCTTTGACAGTTTGCCCGTTACGCACGGAAATAATGACAGACGAGCGAAACAAACTGAACGTTCGGTCAGATAAAGATAAACGCAAACTTGGAGAAGCGAGAGAACGCTTGTCAGATAGTTGGTGCTCGGGGGTGCCGTGGAGAGCAGTACGAAATGGGAAATGGGAGAGCTGAGTTCGAATTTCAGGCGGGTTCGTATACATTCACTTACCCTTGAGAAAGTTATGAATCTATCTCCTCACCTGCTATTAGTTAAAAAGTAGGACTTGTATGTAGAAAAAAAATTATTACTATTTTAAAAAAAATATCGTTTATACTTCAGTCTATGAATATTTACTTCGGTTAGGGATAGGTAAAATTATTGATCATTTATAATTGAGCTTATATAAGAACTAGCAGCATAGCCCGGCGTTGCCCGTGCTTGATTCAAAAATTGTACGACTCATACAGCAATCGCTATCACTTGACTTAAAATATTTTTGCCCTTCCTTGTCTTTAAAGGAGTGCCCTTTGCTGTGCTGATGTTGCTACATGCCTTACTTCTTGCCTATCTCACACTGCAAATTTTTTCTAAGCTGTATACTAAACATTAAATCTGTTACGAAAAAAGAATTAAACAAAATGAACACAAAACGATCAGCTTTAAAAAAGGACTCGTAACTGGAAAAACCGAATGAAAAAAGAATGTTAACAACAAATACTTTTTCACACCCAAC